TTTGAAACAAAGTTTGTTGCTGTGCTACTTGTAGTTCCTGAGGGTGAAGCCCCTGGCTCTCAGGAGGGGTTGGAGTTTTCCATTTTTACACTTCCTTTATCATCTAAGATTCTTGGCTAACCTTTTAAAATTCCTGTTATGAGTGATTTTGCTGATGTCCCCTCACCCTAAATCCCCAGTTCTCCATGAGATCCTTCAAGAGTGTATTTAGCCTGGGGACCATTGTGTGCTTCTCCCTTAAAACTCTGATTCCCCTTCTGTCTCTAGTTATTGTAGGGAACAGGAAAAAATAAAGGAAAAACAGAAAATTCCATTTACCCATAATGTAAACATGAAAGAGGTAGAATATTAAAATGTAATACTTATTGCAGTGCCTTTGGCCTTAATCCTTTGCTGATAACCAATTGCCGGATGGGGATTTATGTTTTATCAGCATTCAATCTATACAAAAGGACCACACTAGTTAGGCGAGAAATGTTGATCAAATGAAGGTCTAGGGGCAAAGCCCCCAGGTTAGAAAGGCTTTTAGTTCATGTATTAATATCTTTGTGGTTGTTTTTGTTCATTTCAGATGGGGTTCATTCATAAAAGTTGTCTACAATTGGTGTAGTCTTGTTTAAGCTTTTACCAAGTGGTGTGCATTTGTTTGAAAAAGACCAATATATCATATCTGAACATTCATTTTATAAACCATAATAACCAATGAAAACTATCCTAAACTGTCACACCATAATAGGGCAGGTATGATCACAGGTTTAAATGTATTTTTGGGGTGTTTTGTAATTACAGTCTTAGAAAGATTTTTGTGTGCTCCCATGCAATGGGTCTAAATGCCCCTGAAGTTGTTTTGCCTAGGAGATATGACCATCTGTATCCAGAGATTGGCAGGTTGACAATGAAATATTGGCTAGACTGTTGCTTCAGACATCATGTGTAAACAAAACTTTTTGAAAATGGTATGGGTCATTTATTTAATCTGTGTAACTCTCATGCTCTCCTCTTAATACTCAAAGATTTTTGTAGAAATAATAGCATAAATATATAGATAAATATGATTTGTGCTATTTTATTGATATATACCATATATTACAATAATGCATATTTTTCATTTTCTTTTTCTACTTTCAGTGGAATGCTGTGGCACTGTGGGCCTGGGGTGAGTGTTTGTTATTTTTTGGGAATTCTTTGTTTCCACGTTTTTATTCCTTTAATAATCATCAAAGTCTTTTTTTTCAGAATCATGATTTAATTGAATAAAAAAATCCCTTTTATGCCATTTCTTGTAACTTTTGTAAGTAGATCTTTGATTTTATATGTGTAAACATGAGTGGTATTGTGATTATAAAAATGCTAATAAAATTCCAAGCAGACTCTAAAGTTTGCATTTGTGTGATTTTGGAGTTTTTGTGGCCATTACTCTGCTCTGATACCACATAATCTTTTTCTCATATCACACAAAGTTACTGATCTTTCACCCTCTTCAAATAATACAGATAACATGCCTTATCAATCCCCGAAAAAGTTACCATAATTCTAGCATCATATCAGTTGTTCCCAACCTTTTTACCCATGACCCCTTTCTCGAATCTCTGAATCATCCACAGACATAATTATTAGGCTAAGAAAAAAATTAGTAGTATAGGCATACTTTTATGTATCAAACTGTAATACATTATTCCTTTTGTCATGTCTGCTTAGTATAATCTTGCATGAATTCTGATGAAAGCCTAGCAAATTGGCCAATACTTTTTCTTTTAACCCAATGGCGCCGGGTGTACAAAAGAAAAAAAAAAAACTCTACGCTTAAACAAACAAAGGCGGCGCGCCGACTTTGAGCGCGTGAGTATGGGACATCAGCCCGAATCACTGGCTCGCCGCTGGCTCATTCGGCTGCACGCCAGCTTTCGAGCTCTTTGTTTACACACCGATCGGCGTCACCTGGCACGAAGGGGTTAAGGTGTTGCTGACCCACTGGTTGGGAACCATTGTACTTGTCCATTTGCTTGTTTATGGTCCATTTACACCTCATGGCAGCCACTGCTTTGATCACTGTTTGCTTTCATGATCAAATTAACAATACCTATTATAAGCCATTGTTTGTTAACCCATTGCCGCCGGGGATGGCATGTACGTACATGCCATGCCCACTGTGAGTCGACTTGTTCGATTGTTTTTACACATAGATGGCTACACTTGTACTAAGTATCCAATGAGCCAATTACAAGTACTGCCTGTCTCGCCCATTCACCCTTTTCATCGGTTTACAAAAATATTTAACGTTATCCTAATTTGCTGTTAAAAATAACACCATCTATATTTATAGCACTAGTAAAAATACGTTTTTTCCCGCCAATTCAAGGGAAGACAAAATCAGGACTAGCAGAGCCTTCTATGGACAGAGATATTTCACAAAAATATTAAAAATGAGTACTGCATTTCCCCCATTTTTTGTTCATTTTCCCCGGCGGCAATGGGTTAATATTAAGAATTTATCCTTTATGTTTCACTGGATAAAGATTATTATTGATGAATTGGCTCTCCTCATCAACTGATTAGGGTGCAATGGTTTTGGAACCCTTGAAGCAAAGTTTGTATAGGCCTTTTCTATGCTATGCATTAATATATTAAATCTTTATGCTATCCTTTTTACCATAACTCAACAGTCATCATCCATTTTCAAAACTCAACAATTTTTTCACTTTAGTAGGCTTCCGTCATGAGAGTTGTTTTCAATCCTTCCTGCTTGAATATGAAATGAAAGTTTTATTTGTAAATGGCACTCCTCATTAGCAACATGTCTTATTAAACTTTTTTCAAATATATAATTGAGGCATACACCTCAGTTTTTTTTAATTCATGCTGTGGGTGAGTGGGTTCTTCATGCTCAGGGTGATGCTAAGTGATGGTGTGGTTTGCATGCCTTCTCACTTGCAGCTGCCACTGCTGGCTAGCCTGGTGCAAAAAGGGAGCAGCTGTACATAAGTCTCCCCTGCCAGCTCTGCCTGCCTCTCCATCATCAAGATCTCTGCAGTACCTCCTTGTGGCCACCCATGGAAACTAGGTACCTTGTGGTCCTAGGCAGAACTTTGCAGGCTCTTGGAGCAGCAGGAAACCCTAAAGGTACAGAGTTATGGCCCTCTGGCATGTGGACATGCCATGCCCCATTACCCCCTGGGATTAATGGGTGGCTGTGGGGAAGTGGGCTTTGCCAGTCTGCCTCCCTAAGAGAACCTCAGCAAATTCAAATATAGATGGTGCTGGGAGAAGGGCAAATTTCCCAGCAAGTAAGGCAGGCTGCAGGTCCCTCTGGTTTGGCGACTGCTGGGACTGGAGTTACCCGTCCTATCTGCATCCTGGCGGCTGCCAGCCTGGCTTGTGGGGCAAAGCCCATGGGACCGCCACATGTGGATTAAGGGACCTGCAGCCAGCCAGCCCTCACTATAAGGGGCAACGTCTGTGGGGGTGGCAGAGGTGGCGTCCACCCAAAGTGACTGCCTGAGGCTAAAGCTCAGGTGGGCTGTCAGAGTGGCGGCTTGGAACGTCCGCTCTTTGCAACAGGATGATCAGCTACCACTACTGTCGAGGGAGCTGAAGCAGTTAAGAGTTGAGGTGGCTGCTCTTTTGGAGGTGAGAAGACCTGGCAGTGGCACGATTAGCATGGGTGGCTGCACTTATTGCTGGGCCGCAGGGATTGTCACCATCTCCAGGGAGTAGCCATAGCCATCTCCAGCAGACTTCAACCCTGAGTCACTCCAGTCGATGAGCATTTAATGTTTTTTAGACTGAAGCTTATACAGTAAGTCCCCTACTTATGGACATAATGGGGACCGAGAGGCTGTTCGGAAGTTGATTTGACCGTATGTCGAAAGTCGGGTCTCCATAGCCTTTTTCCCCATTGTTTTAAAGTTTTGTTTACATAAGGAATACCTGTACATAAATCCCAATAAGTTCGACATACCGTATACAGTACCTGTAATATGTAATGCTTTTAATATTATTTGATGGTGTTTCATACAACTTTAATGTAGAAACATAATTTATTCAAAAAGAAAATATATTGTAGTAGTGACTGGCAAATAAAAAACTCGGTTCGGTACATCAGGCCGAATTACTGGCTCGCTGCGCTTTGGCGCGCCGCCGCTGCGTACAGCCACACGCCACTTTTCGAGCGGTTTCTTAAAATTATTTGATGGTGATTCATACAACTTTAAATGTAGAAACATAATTTATTCAATAAGAAAATATATTGTAGTGGCGACTGGCTGGTGAACCAATTGAAAAGATCATTAAAGTTATAGCCTGACGTTTCTTGGTAATTCCACTGGCTCCCCCGTTTATCTTTCTCTTCACACCCAACATTTTTGATGGATTGATGCACTGGTAAAGTGAATTATGGCACAAAAATTGTCGGTACACAAGGACACAGTGAAGAGATGCTTCCGTGTTTATGAGTGAGCGCGGCGGCGCCATGGCGTGGCAGACTCGTGAACTATATTCGCACCCAGGAAATTTGAAGTTTGCTAGTATCTTTCAAGCAATTTTTTTCACTTAAGTATTAAAAAAAAAAGTTTGTATATACAGAATGTGTGTAAGTAGAATATTCTTAAGTAGGGGGCTATCTGTACTTGGCTTCACGTGTCTTGTTGCTGTGTACGCTTGATGTGAAAGAGATGTTTTATGCCCTACTTGCATCTGTGACAGACAGCTGTCTTCGGTGAGATATATGTATTGCTCTGGGTGACTTCAATCCAGTATCTGGCTGTGACTGAGATGTCTGTCAGTCCTCATGGCTCAGGAGCTGATGCTAGCAGTGAGAATAGCCTCCTTTTCCAGAACTTTGCCAGGTCCCAGAAATTGAGGATTTCTGGTTCTTGGTATCAGCATTCTGTCCCACATTGTTGGGCTTGGTACAGTGATATGGGCAATGTGGCCAAGGAGATCAGTCACATCCTTGTTAGTACTCCAATGAACATCCTAGAGTGTTTCATGTGGACAGATTGAAGGAGGGTGAGTGTGCCTGGGTGTTTGCTGAAGCTATCTCTGGTCATTTCACAGCACTCGGAGGCCTGACCGGCCCTGTTCTTCTGTGGGACACCTTCAAGCAAGAAACTCAATGCAGCCAAAGAATCGATTGCCAAATACCCAAGAGCAAGACAGACTTCCATCTCACAGGAGACACTGGAAGCCACAGATGCTTGTAACACAGCTCAACTTTCAGGGGATCACAACTTGCATCATTCCCTGGTGTGCAGGACTAGGTCACTGCTGAGAAAGGACAAGGAACAGTTTATCAGGAATCTTGCAGAGGAGGTCAAAAGTATTTTGAGCACTTGTACCAGGTTAATCCACCAACAATTAACTTGGATGTGGGTAGTGTCAAGATTCCTTTGCCAGACCCACCCATCATGAAGGAACCACCCTCCCTGATCTCCAAGCTGAAGAGTGGTAAAGCTACAGTGCATCATGAATCACTCTGGAAAATCCTGAGACTAAGAGGAATTCCAGCAAGGATTATTGGATTAATAGCAAGCCTATATACCGGTACTGAAAGTGCTGTAGAAGTGTGGCGGGGGCCTGTCTAGCTTCTTCCCTGTTAGTTCAGGAGTGAGGCAAGGCTGTGTTCTTGCACAAACACTTTTCAACACTTGCATGGACTGGATACTGCATTTAGCAATGAAGCGAGGCCTCTGGGGCTAGAGGTCTCCTGGACCAAGACCAAGATCCAGGACTTTGGGGGCCTGCTAGGAGATCCTGTTCAGTTGGTACATGCTCGCACCGAGAACATCAAGGTCTCGAAGAGTTTCATATACCTCAGTAGTGCAGTTCATGTCTCCGGGCTGTCAGACCTGGAAGTCAGTAGACATGTTGGCCTGGTAGCAGGGGCCATGAAATCTCTTGACAAGAGTATTTGGAGATGCCAGTACCTGTCTTCCAGGCCCTAATATTGTAGTGAAACCTGGACGCTGTCTTGTGCTTTGGAATCTTGTCTTGATGCCTTTTGTAACAGATCCTTCCACTGGATCATGGGTTACAGTTGGTGGGACCATGTGTCCAACCAACAGAGAATAATACAGGACCTGTTACTTGCACAATCTGCGATCACCAACTCAGGCTATACTGCCACCAGGCTCATTTCCCACAGGATGATCCTGCCCACCAGGTTGTCTCTGTTTGAGAGGAGGCCTCTGGGACGACCTTGGAAGTAGTGGCTTGTGCAGATCAATTGAACCTGCCTTGAAAAGCTAGAATTGGATTTGGCCCCTGCCTAGCAGCTCACCATGAGGGACCCGTGTAGGTGGAAACGAAGGGTGGATGTAGCTATTCGCTACCCAATGATGAATGATGATGATAAGTGATATTTTAACCCCTTGATCCTGAGAGAATATTCTTTTGCATGTCTATAATTCTCTATCTTGTACATACATACATATATATTTCATATATCACAGATCAGACACACACACACAAAAGCACCTGCAGTAGAGAAAAGGACAAATTATGGTTTGCTGATGAATGACTGTATAATGAACCTGTATAAAAAATATATAAAAGTAAAGTAATGTTGGTATCTGCTCATTAGAATATTCACACTGTAACTCTTTGATAAGTTAGTAAGGTAGTGAACAATTTTTAACAAAATCATTTTTCTTTGCAGATATTGTAGTGGACAATTGTGCCATCTGCCGAAACCATATTATGGACTTGTGCATTGAGTGTCAAGCAAACCAAGCTTCTGTTACTTCAGAGGAATGCACTGTTGCTTGGGGAGTTTGCAATGTAAGTATTTTAAAATGTGCACCATATAATTTTCATATTGGTATAGAATAAATTCAGGCTATATGATTTTGAATTAATTTTCCATAGTTTACAATTATTTTTATATAATGATATTTTACATCATATTTTTAATACCCTGTTGTTTGCAGCATGCTTTCCATTTCCATTGCATTTCCCGATGGTTAAAAACACGTCAAGTGTGCCCACTAGATAACAGGGAATGGGAGTTCCAGAAGTGAGTTGAATGAGAATCTTTGTGTTAATAACAAATTCCCTATATGACTTGTAAGCCAAGTTGATATATACTGTGATATTAATATATAGGACCTCAACTTTTTTACTTCCATTTTTATGGTGTGATTATTTTTCTTGAATTTGCTTTATTATCAAAATCTTTGTAATTTCAATATTATTATTTACTTTTTATTACCTCTTTCATTTAGTGAATTAACAAGTCTATAGATGTCTTTAATGTTACATAAATTAATTTTTCTCTCTCTTTCACAGGTATGGCCACTGAAAATTTGTTCAATATAGAATTTCAACATTACTTTTACTTTTTTCACTTTTTTTCAATGGCAGTTTAAAACCTCAAGTTCTTCTACACCATTTTTCAGCTGATCCTGTTTTCACTTGCAATATTTTTTTTTTTTTTCTGTAATCATAATTTTTCTTCAACATGTCACATGTGATAAAACTTACAAATAAACATTAGTGTTTTTATTGCTTGTCTCTTTCTCTTCATACAAGAACTGTAGAAAGTTGCATAAGATATATTGGAATGTTTATAACAAATTGTTTGATTAAATTACAAACCAAAGAAGAATTAGTGGCATTTAATAATTTTAAGAAAGTTTTGTAATATGGTTGAAGGTGCAAGTCATAGATGTCATTTGTATATATTATGTATTTTATATTTTCTTTAATCACTTTTAGTACCATAGTTAAACAAAGATCAGAGCAATTAAAAAATCCAGCCATCCTTATGGTGGACAATAAAGGAAAAAACAAAGTTAAAGAAATTTTTGGCATTACTCAAGGTATTTGGGTCTCAGGTTTGAGGACTCCATATTACAACCTCCCCAATCTCTTACCCATTGTTGTTGTGGGGAGGCTTAGGAGACCAATGTGGGGGATCACCCCTACCGTGGACCTCAGCCCTCAACCCAACTAATTTGGCTTGGTCCTTTCTTTTTCCTTCCATTCTTCATCCTCTTCTGTCCACTTCCTAAAAGGATGAAAGGATGAAAGGCTAGCTTTGTATCAGTCCTGAAGAGCCTTCAGGAGCCATGGGCATGGTATCCCCTTGGTTAACCCAATGCTGACGGGGAAAATGAATAAAATATGGGGAAAATGCTGTGCTCATTTTCTATATTTTTTGTGAAAGTCTTTGCACATAGATGGCTCTGCTAGTGCTTAGCCATATAGGAGTCAATTAGTAGACCTTGTGACCTTACCTGATTTGAATTGGCGGGAAAAATGTATTTTTTACTAGTACTATGAATACCAATGTTGTCATTTTTATTATAAACATTATAATTACAGCAAAACAAGATAATGCAAAATATTTTCCTAAATCAATGAAAAGGGTAAACGGGTGAGACGAGCAGTACTCATAACTGGCTCATTGGTGACTTGGTACAAGTGTAGCCATCTATGTGTTAAAACAATCAAACAATTAGCTCACAGTGGGCATAGCATGTACGTACATGTCATACCCTTTACTGGGACCCTGAATAGACTTTCTCTTCCCCACATATTTCATACTTGCCATGGCCTATAATGAAGATTTTTTATCTTTATTAGGGGCATCAAGGTATGCCCCTTAATCAAATAGCCCATCTAAATTTAACTTCCAGTGTTTCCCGACTTCTGCCCTCTCCTCTAACCTTATCTCTGACCATTGATACTGGTCCCCCCTCGAAGTTTGCTGTCAACTTTATCCACCTTCAGTTTCATCCAGGTCCCAAGCTCATGCATTATCAACCCTGACTAACAACACTGGCAAACCTATTCCAGACCAACCTCACTCCTCCCAAAATACCATCTCCCTGACTGCTTGCCTTGTCTACAACAAGGATTGGTCAGACCGACTTATTTATTGGAAATTTTCAGCTGCATTAACATCTACCAGCGGCATAAACAAAATATAGCAAAATATAGGGTCAGGCTTGGGGCAAAGCCCCCAGGTAAAGTATTTTGGTTCAAATAAAGCAATGTTGGTGGATTTCCAGAATGATCAATGGTCAATTCAAACAAATGTACCAGACATCAATGGTTACACTATTACGGTAGAGTATTGTGGCAGAAAGGGGTAAATATGGGTTAATGATTTTGATAATTGGACAGAAAGGGATAATGGTAAATGGTTAAAAGCAAGATAAATATGCTAGACATCTAAGGTCATGTAGCACTATAGTTAATGTTAGTGAAGGGTGGTTGAGTTACTGATTAGTTGTCTAAGCTGGGCAAAGGAATTGGCGAGTGAAAGGGTTAAGGTCAGGTGTGGTATGGAGTTAGATTAGGTAAAGGATATGTATGCGTTTGAGGAAAGAGAACAGGTTGTTGAAGCAGAAAGTGTGGGATACTGTAAGGATGTCTGATAGGTTGGGAGGTCAGTGAAGGGAGGATAGGTGGGGGGAAAGCAGAGGTACGGGTTGCTTCAAAACGTGGGCATGACAATAGGATGTGTGGGATTGAAAGGGGAACATTACATAAGGAACATAGGGGTGGATCAGATTGTGACATCATATAAGAGTGTGTTAGATGGGTGTGGCCAATGCGTAAGTGGGTGAGAGTGGTCTCCCAACGTTTGTTCCGATGAAATGGAGCTGACCAGGAGGAGATTGATGGTTTTACAGAATGTAATTTATTAGTGCGGAGACTTTATTAAAAAGATTGCCATCAATTATACAAGAAGGTCTTAAAGTGTGGGTAATAATCTGTGGCTGGGATACGTGAGAAGCGTGGTTGGTATGATGTGGACATAGCAGTGCGGTGTGCTAGTGTATCTGCCTGTTCATTGCCAGGGATTCCAACATGGCTGGGCACCCAGCAAAATTTGATTGTTTTATGGCGTGTGGACAGGTAGAACAACCAGTTCTGGATCTTACAAACAAAGGGGTTGGTGGTGTGTATTGACTTTATGACAGTTAATGAGTTACGGGAGTCAGTAAAAATTGTAAAAGAGGAAGAGGAGAGTGAGTATATGTGTTTTAGGGCAAAAAGGAGTGCATACAGTTCTGTAGTAAGGACACTGGATTCAGGAGGAAGGGAGTATTTGAAAGTACGAGTTGGGAAGATTACTGCAAAACCTGTGCCGGAGGTGGATTTGGAGTCATCAGTATAATCGTGAATACTAGAGGAATGAGTGGAGACATGTTCAAGGAAATGGGTGAGAAGGACAGCAGGAGGAATATTTGATTTTGGTGGGTCAGGGAAAACAAAAGAGCAAATATGGGGGTGGGGTATAAGCCATGGGGGGACGGAATGGACAGAGAACGGGAGAGGTTGGAGATGGGGGAAAGGGGAATGGGAGAGGAGGGTATCCATGCGAGTGGAGAAAGGAGTAGGTAAACGTGGAGATGAAACTAAGGTAGGAAGTAGGGATTGTGGGATAGTTAGTTTAGTGAGGGAAAGTTGGTGGAATCGAACATAACATCGGAGAGAGAGAAGGGCAGGACGTCGAGATAGAGATGGTATGCCTGATTCAGTGTACAGGCTCTCAACTGGAGAGGAGCGGAAGGCACCTAGTGCTAAGCGAAGACCACAGTGATAGATTGTATCAAAATGGGCAAGGAGAGAAGCTGAGGCAGAGGAGTAGATATGGCATCCATATTCAAGAGTGGAGAGGATCAAAGTAACATGAAGATGAAGGAGAGTTTTGCGATCTGAGCCCCATGATATATAGGACAGAGTTTTTAAGATTCGAAGGCGGTGGAGAGCTTTTTCTTTAATGTACAGAATATGGTCTCGCCAGGACAGTTTGGAGTCAAAAATGACACCTAGGAATTTGCCAGAGGAACGGCATTGGAGTGGAGTGCCATGTAAGAAGAGTGGGGGTAGGGGACCTACACATGAGCGAGAGAAAAGGATGGAGAAAGATTTAGAGGTAGAAAAGCGGAAGCCATGGTTTGTGGTCCAGAAAGATACTGATGAGATTGCAGATTGAAGAAATTGGTAGAGATTTGGTTTGGATGTGCCAGAGGCATAGATGGTTAAATCATCAACATATAATGATGACCGGGCTCCTGGTGGTAAAACTGAGACAATATCATTAACAGCAAGAAGGAATAAAGTGGTACTGAGCACACTGCCTTGTGGGACACCTTCGAATTGAGGAAAGAAAGATGATGTGGCAGAGGCAATTTTGACCTGAAAAGTGCATTGAGAGAGGAGAGACTTTATGAAGACTCCCATGTTTCCACGTATGCCTAGAGAGGACAATTGTTGGAGAATATGGTACCGCCATGTCGTATCATATGCTTTTTCTAGATCAAAAAATATAGCTAGTACGGATTCATGGCGTGCAAATGCGGATGTAATATATGTCTCAAAATGAGCAAGGGGGTCAGCTGTGCTTCTGGCACGGCGAAAACCGAATTGGGAAGGAGAGAGAAGATTGTGAGATTCAAGATACCACATTAAGCAGAAGTTCACCATTCGCTCTAATAGTTTGCACAAGCAGCTAGTTAGTGCGATGGGGCGATAGTCTTGAGGGAGAGTACCCGATTTATTGGGTTTTAGGAAGGGAAGGATAAGTGCTTCTCGCCAATTAGAAGGAAAATTTCCTGATGTCCATATGTGGTTGTAAATTTTTAATAGGAAGGATAAGGAGGAAGATGGGAGTTGCCGGAGCATACGGTAGTGAATACCGTCAGGACCTTCATGAGTGTTGCGGCAGGATTGTAGGGCAGCATTGAGTTCAGAGGAAGAAAATGGAGCATTATAGGACTCAGCGGAGGATGGGGTGAAGGTAATGGGGGTGCGTTCTCTGATGGTCTTAATAGAAGAGAAGTGTGGAGAAAGGTGAGAACCACTACTGACCTGGCTGAAATATTCACCCAGTTCATTAGCGACTTGAAGAGGTTCAGAAATGAGGGTATCTCGAATATGGAGGATGGGGGCAGGATGGGGGGATGTTTGCCTGATAGTTTATGGATTCGGCGCCAAACATTTGAGATAGATGTAGAGGATGTAATTGATGAAACATAATTTCACCAGCTATTTTTTTTACTATTCCGGATTGTACGACGAAGACAGGCAGATGCTCTTTTAAAGGAGATAAGGGCTGATAGTTGATTTATAGTACCTCTCTTGTAGCGGTAACTGTTCCAGGCTGCACATTTTAAGCGAAGTGCTTTAGTGCAATCAGAATTCCACCATGGAACACATTTAGAGGTATATGGTCTTGAGGTTCGAGGGATAGCTGTATGTGCAGCTCTTAGGACTGTAGTTGTGAAACACTGTATCATTTCTGAAATGGAGGAGAGGGAGGTTGATGGGGTATGAATAGCAGAGAGTGAAGTGAAAGTATGCCAGTCAGCTCTATCAAAGCACCAGCGTGGGGAGTTAGGAAGTGGTACGTATGAAGTAGGAGAAAGGAGAACTGGAAAGTGGTCACTATAGGGAAAGTGATCTAAGACTGACCAGTGGAAATCTAAATGAAAAGAAGGGGAGCATAGAGAGGTCAATGCATGAAAAAAATTGCGTGCGTGTATCAA